TAGACTAGAAGTTTCATGAGGTAAAACATTTGCAGAGGACCACGTAGTACTTTATTATGATTTATTAAATGTCAGTTTATATGAGTTTTATTGAATATGAGATTAAAGCAGTAGTTATTATATGACAGCACAGTGTTCTGTGATTTACTCATGAACTGCTCTTTTTTTCTTCACCTGAAAATACCCTGTAGAGTGGAGGGGAAAACATGGCATCAGCTAAACCAAAGAAATGGAAATAAGAACAAATATGTTTAAATCTTGGGGCACTGAAGAGCTTTATCATGCTCATCTCCTACCTGGTGTTATTTATCTCTCTTAATGCAGGAATCAGGCTGTGAATATGACCTACAAAAGTGGCAAAGATTTTAAACTTTATTTACTGGCTTGGAATTCAGTCTTCATTGGAACAGAAAGGGCAAATATTTGGGGATATGTGTGAGTCAAGGCAATTTGTTCAGAAAGGGAAAAGGAAGAGAGTGGTAGCAGCCATAGAAGAAAGCTGGAAAAGGGAAAAAAAAAAAAACAGCTGGAAAAATCTGAAACACTTAGTGTTCAGCTGGGATAATATGGGCTCAGATCTTAGGAAGCTGAGGATAATGGCACATGAACACATGATTGCTACAATTCTCCATTTTCATGGATGCCAGTAAGAATTTCTAACACAGAAAAAGGGGGTACATTTGTGATAATCACTTTTTTTTTTTTTTTCATTTCTGTTCTATTGAAATTTAAGCATGAAGAACTTGATCCAAAAGCTGGAGGAAGTATGTATCTACATTTACTTCCACACCCATCCAATTAAGGCAAAACTGGAGTCCTATCTTAAAGGCTTTTGGTGACCTTCACCCAGGGTATTGAGAGGCTCCACTCTGTGGTGAAGATCACAGCTGAGAACTACAGCCTGACTGAACATTTTTAGGAAGGCTAATCCTGCCTGTCTAGGCAAGAGTTCCTTTGCACAGAATGAGACAAGTCTGTGAAGATTTCCCCACAAGAACTAAGGGTAGAGCCAAACTTTTACTGCCTTGTTTAAGCACAAGGTATGTTACTCTGCTCTTGTTCTCCTTTATACAAACCCACTGCACATTTCCCTGTGAGTCTGTGCCTTTGTGTTGAAGAACATCCTGAAAAGTTCTTTCTTAGAGACAAACTGACAACAGACTTAGGCAGACGTTGGTCACTTTGTTGCTGGGATCCACAAATTCATTGGAACTCTAGAACACACCAGGACACAGCAACTCCAAAGAGAAACCAAATGGAAATTTTTTTCTTTATTTGTCTCTTAAAAAGACAGACCATGAGAGCTGGGGTTATTCAGCCTGGAAAAGAAGGCTCTGGGGAGACCTCTCAGTACCTAAAAAAGCTTAGGAGAAAGCTGTAGAGGAACTTTTCATAAGGGTGTGTGGTGATAGGACAAGGGATAGTGGCTTCAAACTGGCACAGGGCAGGTTTAGATGAGATTTTAGGACAACATCCTCTGCTGTGAGGCACTGGCACAGGTTGCCCATAGAAGTTGTAGATGCCCCATCCCTGGAAGTGCACAAGGCCAGGTTGGATGGAGCTGGCAGCAACCTGGCCCAGTGAAAGGTACCGCTGCCCATGGCAGGGATCTGGAACTGGATGACTTTTAAGGTCCTTTTGAACCAAACCATTCTATGATTCTATGAATTTGCTGCTGTTATTTCTGTAATGAGGAATATACAGTAACTGCTTCAACTGAGCTTTATCCCAGTATTGTTGATATTTAAACTTTCAGCCAAAAAAAACAAAACAAAACACAACAAAACAACTCCAAAAAAAACAAACAAAAAAACCCAAACCAAACATATTTAAAATCTTAGGGGGAAAAAAAGAGTTAGGAGTTATGATTGCAAATTCCTGCATTATCCTTTTTACACTTTTAGGTTGGATTTTTTTCCCGATGTTGGCCCTGGTGCACATACAGATACAATTTTTGTGCACTGTTTAATTAGCCAAGGTTTAACTATAGACCTGTACACACAGCTGGTGCCTCTGCTGCTCTTCAGCCACAGTTCCTAATGATAAACTGGGATGTAACTGCTCCTTTGTCTGGTTTGGAAAGATTCTGTAGTCTGGTTGCATCTCCAGCATTCCTCAGACCACAATTTCAACACAGAAAACATTCAGACCAGAGTGATGGGAGACAATGACAGCCATTTGAAATGAGGTTTGGCAACAGAATTTCTGACAAATGCTCTGGGATAATGCTCACGGAGAGAATTGTGCTCCCAGAGATGTGACTTGTTAATTCAGTCTGAAGGAAGAAGATTCAGAGCCATCATTTATTGGAACCTATTACAGGACTTAATCTGAAGATTTTGACATACTTCCAAGACAAATAGGCTACCAGGAGTGCGACATGTTCAATAAGGTGTGTATTGTAGGAAATGAGGGCTGTAATTGCCATGCTGAGAGAGCCTGTTGTCTATGCAGTTTAATGACCTTCCCCTGGCAGTGTCCCTCTGACACAATGTGATTCAGAGATGAATCATGGAAAGGGTCTTTATCATCACACAACAGACTTGACTGAATGGTTTCTGCTTATTATTGGTGGGCACCGTAGGATTTGAGCCCCACAGAAAAAACATTAGGAATTACATCTCCTCTAATGCTTGGGCCTCTTCATTAAACATCATGGGGGTGTTTGTAGTTTCCTTGTTGCTCTGCACATCACAGCAGTGGCCCAAGTTTTTCAGCACAAGTTTTCTCTTTGCTTGTAACAGTGAGTTAGACTGAAATTTGTGTGAGATAGCTCCACTCAGCAGCACAGATTATGACAGAAACAAGAAGTCCAATCCTGTTTGTCCTTTGAACTTAACCAAGACATACGTAGTCTTTATATTCTTTCCTTGTGAAAAAGTTCCCGATATCTGTCACCATTTTCTGACCTCTCTCCAGCTTCTAATTTTCCAACCTGATACTGAGGCAGGAAAAGAAATTTGCAATTTTGGCTGCAACCCACATCACTGAGGAAAAAAATGCGGAATAACAGATGTGCAAAGACATAGGTCACTTATTGTGCAGGGCTGCAACAACCAAAGAAATACTTACAAAAATGTAGGGCGCAGAAATTAAACAACCTTTATAAGATTTTAAATCCTGAAAAACACTGAAGACTATATTACATGTAAAAATTTCCCCCTGTACTACCTATATTCATAAATGTACTTGGCAATGTCCGTGGTTATTTCTACTGTGCTACTTTGGGGCTCCGAGGAATCCCTGAGCGTCTGTCCCCCAGCACATTTTATTGCTACAAGAACAACAGTTCTTGGTAACTCATTTTTGTGTTTTTTTTTAGTTTAGAGCACTTCTATGTAAGTAGTTGCCTAAGAGTTTGCTTCTTTTACAGTTCTGGTGTTCTAGATGGTGCTGTTTTCAGGATGTGCTGCTTACAGATGTACCAAATGGAGTGATTGGTGGCTGGCAGTGTTACAATCTGGCCTTGAAATCTGAGTGCCTGTTTAGTGGCTGTGAAGTGACAGAAAATTAGCATTACTAAGCCTTCTCTCACCTAACATAGCGGGAAATTTTGTTTTCCAATAGGTAGTGCTATACTTCCAACCAGCAGTGCTAACAGCAAATACCACCACTATGAGAAACATATTTCAGTACATCAACTATAGTTTGGAAACATTTCCATCCCCATCTTTTGGGCCTTGAAGCAATGTTTGAAAGTGTGGCTAAGTTTTCTCGGGTACAGCAGCAGTGGAGCCTTCAAATTCCTCTTTGCATCAGGCTAAGCTCAGGCTGAATGTTCCCTTCCACCCTGGGGAGCCGATGTGGATGGACGTGGAAACGATACAAATAAATTTTATATATATATATATATATATATATATATATATATATATATAATTATTAGAATATATATAGATATAAAATAATTATTAAAATATATAAAAATTATATTATATATATGTTATATATAATAGATAACATATAATATCTAATATAAATATATAATATATATAAAATAACTATTAAAAATAAATTCTTTTATTTATATATAAATTAAAATAAATTATATATAAAATTATTTAAAATATATAAGATAATTACTAAAAATATTATATATAATATATAACATATAATATCTAATATAAATATAAAATATATATAATTATTAAAAATATATAAATTTATTTTTATTTATATATATAAATAATAAATAAATTTTACTTCTATATAAAATTATTTAAAATGTCTAGATATAAAATAATTAATATATATTACATATATTATATATGTTATAAATAACAAATAATATATAAATATATAATATATATAAAATAATTATTAAAAATACAAATTTTTTATATATAAATAAAAATTATATATAAATTATAAAAAATATATAAGATAATTACTAAAATATTATATATAACATATAATATCTAATATAAATATAAAATATGTATAATTATTAAAAATATATAATTTATTTTTATTTATATATAAATAATAAATTTTACTTCATATAAAATTATTAAAAATGTCTAGATAGAAAATAATTAATATATATTACATATATTATATATGTTATATATAACATATAATATATAAATATATAATATATATAAAATAATTTTATATATATATATATATATATATATATATATATATATATATATATATACACATAAAAATAAATTTTATATAGATATATAAACCACTTATTTTTATCGTTGCCACGTCCATGCACAGCGGCTCCCCAGGGTGGAAGGGGACATTCAGGCTGGGCTGGGCTGGGGGGCAGGGGGGTCGCGGCCAGCCCTGTGTGCCCTACCTACCCCCGGGCCCGTTCGCTCTCCCCACGGGCCGTGTATGCCCTACCTACCCACGGGCCTGTTTGTTCGCTCTCCCCACGGGCCGTGTGTGCCCCACCTACCCCCGGGCCCGTTCGCTCTCCCCACGGCCCATCCCGCCATTCCCGCTCGGCCCCGGGCCCGCCCCGGAAGCGCCGCCCGCCTGCCCGGAACCCGTGGGTCCGGAACGCGGCTTTGCGGCGCGGGGGCCGGGCCGGAGCGCGGCGCTGGGGGGACCGCGGGGAAGATGGCGGCGGCCGTGGCGGGCCCACGTGGGCGCGGGGCCGCGGACGCGGACACGGACAGCGGTAAAGGCAGCGGGAACGGGGTGGGGCCTCTCTTCTTCTGAAGCATCGCCGGCTGCCGCTGTGCTCCGTCTCTGACCTTGGTGGCCTTTCCTGCTGCCCCGTCCGAGCCCGCCGGTGCGTCCTTGGCCCTTCGTCTCCCCCGCTCCGGACCCGGGCCGGGGCGGTGGCGGTCGGCGCGGGGAACGAGAGCTCGGCCCCGGCCCGGCCGCCTGCCGGGGCCCTTCCCAGCGGTGCCTGGTGGCTGCTGCTGCCCGCCCTGCGCTGGCCCTGGGGCTTTTCCCGCTCAGCCCGGGGAGTACCGCCAGCAGTTCCTTCATTCCCTCCAAAACAGCTTTCGCTGCCCTCTTTCTTGGGGGAGAGAGGGGAACGACTGTGCAGAGCTGCACGAGTTCCGTGTCTGCGAGCCAGGATCTGCTTCTTCTCGAAGGAAACCCCTAGGATGCGCTCGTTCCAGCGATTAACTGCTCTGCAGTTCTTCTCGCCTCCTTGTGAGGGTGTACCTAACCAGTTGTGATCCCTTCTTCATATTCTGTCCTGTGACTGGGTTTCTTCTTTTCTTTGTTCCGGGAGGAATCAGGGTTGTGGCCGTTTGGAGCTGTGGCTCCAGCGTTGGTTCTGTTTGGTTTGAGCGACAAAATTGAATCCAAAGGGAAGCGTCATGTGGGAGCTTCTTTCAGAGCTCATTGCTGAATGTTGGCTGTGTTTTAACTGTGTCTACACCTTGATCACTGAGCGAGTTTAAAAGAGGGAAGTAGAGAAATGTGGATGTGTGTTTCACAACACGCACACGCAGAAACAATTAGAACTTTTTTTATTAAATTTTTGCCAGATATCAGCCTTATCTATTCAGAATAGGGTCCCAGGTCCTACTTTTGATTAAGATAATCTAGTTTAAATTATTTTGAAATACCTCTTCTTGATCTCATGCTGTTGATTGATACTCTGGTGTACTAAAGAATAAATTATGGCTGGTAGTGGAAACTTTGTTAATTTTTCTGTAACTGTTGAAAGCAAAATGTTGTTGGTATTATTCTCCCATTTTATTGGCAGAAGATGTTATGTAAAGGAGGTGATACACGCTTTAGCAAATTTCCTTTTTATAAGTCTGATCTGTTTTTCATGGCTAACTGCAAAAGTTGGTCCTAAGCAGCATGGGGAATTCAGGCTTGGACTTTTGGTAGTTGTTAGGTTTTGTGTGTGTAAAAAAAAGTCACAAGCAGGGGTTTACTCCTTGTTTAAAAGCTAAATAGCAACATCCTAGCATGGACAGGGCCCGGGGTGAAAACTTGCTGTTGTTTTACCTGTAGGAATGAGGATGTAGTTCCTACATGTAAAATGTTGTGTGATGCTGCAGTTACTTCTTTGCAGGCAATGGTTTGAATTTATTTTTTATTGGAAGCTCAGGATAAGGATGCAAATATCTAGAAGGATATTAAAGGATGAAAAAGATGCCTTTAAGTAGTTACTGAATGTGTTGAGAAAATTTGCCACTTCTAAATTCCCAATTTATAGTAAGGACTGTTGGAAAACACCTCCCTAATTTATTTTGAGTGGAGGATGACATAGTACTGTGTTTGCCTTGGTGGTAGTAAAAGTCATACTGACAGAGATAATGACCAAGTATTCAGTAATTATTTCTCTTCCACGTTTGTTTTGTAACCACTGACTCTCACTTCTTTCCATCAGGATACCTGAATGTTCCCCAAGCCTCTAAACATGCCTGGGCAGTAGAGGTGTTGTTTTAAATTGGTCAGTGCCACTCTTTTGCTGCTGTGTTGTTTGTGAAGATTCTCTGGTTTAAACAGGCACATGGAGAATACAGAATAATGAATTAGTATGGCAGCAGAGTGTATGTTTATGGTTGCTTAGTAATTAAATAGACAGTTGATTAATGGGGAATATCATTAATAGCTGCCTGCATGGTTTTATGGAGAACAGATCTTGTGAAGCACTCCTGGCTTCATTCTCTTAATGGTTTGGTTGATAAAGGTACTTCATGGGATATAGGAGCACTTACAAAGTGAAGCACTTGGCTCAGTAGTTAGATTTAACATTTAAAATTCCTTTTTAAGGAGTTTGAGAGTGGTAGATTGATGAAAGTGAGTCACATGGGGAATCTGGGACTGGGTGGGATCAGAAACCAGCTTCCTTCTGTTCAGCACTTGATTTTGCAGCCTTGAAAGCTGTATATAAAATAATTAACTTAAAATTTTATGTGGCACAGATATTACTGGAATAGTAGTTAATGGTGGCAGGACTTTGTGTATGCTCTGCTCTTGATTACATGGTGAAGTGAAATAACCCAGCATATTTTAGCACACTCTAAACCTGCAGCCCATTTTATTCCAGTTAATCACCTGCACTGTTAAAGACTTCTATTTTTGTAGTTTGACCCACTGAACAGAGTAATGAGGACTAACTCTTTGTGTATTTGTTGTGCCATAAATTTGGCTGTTTTCAGCTGTCTTAATTCCAAACTTTGGTATTGCAACTTCAGTTCCTTCTTTTATTTTGAAGGGCTCATAGGGGTAATGAAGTTTGACTTTGGGGATGTTTTATTTGTGTGACTTGAGCAGTTACTTACCCAGAAAAGCTCAGTGCCTCTGGTTTCTTTTGAGCCTGATTACTGTCTTGATGCTGTATTCCAGAGAGCAGTCTCCCCTGGGTTCATTGTGCTTAGGTAATTGTGTTTTTGCTGGCAGTGTTCTCTCTGCGCAGGTTTTGCTGTCATGTAAGAAATGCCCTGCAGCTTCAGTTTCATTCTTGTGGCTGTTTGCAGTCAAACACCAGATGTCACTGTTGCAGTTTCTCTGTGAGTGTGTACATACATATGTGCACGTATTTGTGTGGATAGGAGTTTACAAGGTACACTTTTTAAACTGGAAAATAGACACACTTTCCCCCCACAATTACCAGCCCTAAACATAAAAATATTCAATAATCTAATAATAAGTATCCAAGGCTGCCTTTGCCCTTTTGCCTAGCCTCTTTCAATCACTTTATATCATCACTGAGGTAGGCAAGCACTTGCACTGCATAGTTTCTAATAAATTCAGTATAATGGTGTATGCCTGCTAGAGGAATTAATTGTAGCAGCACATTTACAGCAGGAATACCTCTCTTTGAACTTGGAGAACATTTAATGTAGAGCAAATGGCACTAGTGAATGATTCTTACTAGAAACAATTCCTGATACTTTTTCTTGCTCTTTTTTTTTTAATCCCTAGGTTCTGAGTTAAGCTCAGAACTTCCAGAAGACAGTTATTCTTCAGGAGGTGAAGCCCTGGATGGTGATGATGAAGATGAAGCAGCAGCCCCTGGCAACGTGGCTGAAAAGGCAACAACAAGCTCCAAAGATGGCCCAAGCTCAGGATGGGCAGATGCCATGGCAAAAGTGCTCAACAAAAAGATCCCACAGAATAAGTCCACCATCTTGGCCAAGAATAAAAGCCTGGAGAAGGAGAGAGAGAAAAAAAAACAGGAGAGGCAAGAAAAGAAGATCAGGGTGAGAAAAAGATGCAGTATTCCATGTGCAGTGGCTGTCAGATGGGCTACATGCAAGATAGTCTCAGAGCATTGTCCCAAATTTCTGCTGAGGCTGTCTCAGTTGTGGAGTCTCCCCTTCACAGTGATCTTGAGTAGCTTAATTTTTTTTTTACTTTCCAGTCATGCTGTGTAAGGTTTTTTTCCTTTACTGCTTCTTCTGGGTCATCAGGCAGGCTAAACTTTGGCAGCAGGAGCGTTCCATTCTGTCAGCTTAAGGTGCTTTCTTTTTTGAGGGGGTGAAAGCAGCTACTTTAAGTTTGATTTTCTAATTGGCGTTGTTAATTTGGGGTGAAATTCACTTCATTGGCATTACAAATTGAAATTGTTCTTTGCCACAGAAGGTGAGAGGGAGAAAGAGAAGAAAATTGCTTCCATTTAAATTGTGCTGTGACTTCCAAAATCAAGGCCTCTGGGTTGAGTTTGCAGTAATCACTGATGTGGTTCTGCATGGTTGTTTGCTCCCCTCAATCATTTTCCTGATTGGAGTTTTCTATTACCATGTCAGTGCCCTAAATTGCTTCTGCTTCTGAAACTGATGTGAAGAAACCAAACCATGTTGGCAAGTAAGTCATTTGTTTGTGCCTTGAGTGGAACTTTTAATTCCAGGCTCTGATTGATTTACCTTCAGGCTAGAAATACATTAATAGTTCTAATGTCTCATCCTCCCAGTTCTGTTTCTGTGGGATAACCAGGTTATCCACCTGGCAGTTTGGGACATGCTGCAGTTGGGCCATGGCTTGCCTTTTAAATACAGAGAGCTTCAGTACAGCATCTGCACAGTTATGGTTGTCCTAAATACCTGCTCTCATCCAGTAAATATGTGAGAATACTGCAAAACAGAGATGGGCCACAGGTCCCCAAATTGACTTGTTTACTTAAGAAAAACTTGAAAGCAATTTGCCTTTCATTGATTTCTTGCTGATGAAAGGTAGGATAGGGCAGTTCTTTTGATTAAAGGCCAAAATATGGTGATAAACCCAGAAATTCATAGCAGTCTGCCTGGAATTATAAAGATAAGGACTCTGAAATTCCATTAGAGACTTCTTGCATAAAACAGATTTAATGGAACATCACCAGGCATAAAACACTGTTAAATTGTTCAGAGGGGAAGAAAAACTTACTCCTAAAGCAGAGGTCATGAAATACAGTGGTCTCCTATTGCAGCAGAAACAAAGCTGATGGGTTTGTGTCTGCTGGCAGGAAAAGGGGATCAATTTGGTTTTGAAATGGAGAGCCTTCAAAAAAATAGACCAAAAGCAATACTGTACACATGACTTGTTGTCTGGTGGACACTTGGTGCTCTTCCTTTGTTAGAGTTCTGCCTGTTGCACTCTTTGCTGAGTGTCACTTTGGTCACAAAGCCATACCGGGACCGGTTCTGTAGGGGGAAGTCAAATTCCCAAGGCTCAAAATGCGGCATGCCAGTCTTGATGGACCCGGGATTTTACTATGTATAAATTTCTCTTTGATCAGCTTGTGAAGTCTGGGATTTGAAGGTGGTTTTTGGATAATTTCCTTGCTCAAGGCAGTCTGTGTGAAAGCATCTTTTTCCTAGGCTTTTGGTACTGGAAGCAGATGACTCTCTGAGATTTCAGTGTGGCCTCTGTTGTATCAATGCAAGAGACCTGTCCGGCCCTGTATTGGAGCTCCTTTTACTTTCAACCAAACTGAACTTTGCAGATACTTTTTTTCCTCCTGCTACATACTCTGTCAGATCATGCTGCATTCTCAAATGTCCATGTTGTTTCACATAACAATATTTATAATGCAGCTCGAAAAAAAGCGGGAATGGGAAATGATGTGCCGAGTGAAGCCAGATGTTGTCAAAGACCGAGAGAAGGAAAGAAATCTTCAGAGAATTGCCACAAGGTAAAAGTTTTTCTGAATGCTTTCCTTAAATATATGTATATCAAAAAGAGGAGGAAAAGGCCTGTGCAGGTAATCTGTTTCCAATCAGATTGAACTCTTAAGAAGTGGCTAGCAGGAGCCGAGAGATTTATAGACAGGTCTGCATTGTACAGTATCAAGTTCAACAAAAGATTTCAGAAGCTTTATGAAAGAGTAAAAATTTAGATGGGAATCTAATGTTTGCTTAGCAGAAGTGCTTTGTTGGATCCCCTCATTTTGTTAATTTAATGCCTTAAAAATGCAGAACAGTTGTTTCTACTGTTCTGGTGTTTTTGCTTCTCCACAGAGGATTCACCAGATCCACAGCTGTGAAGTTCAGCTGTCTGTTCACATTGTGGTAATTTGGTGTCACAGAACTAATTGAACAATTTGATGTGCTGCCTGTATGTCCTTAATCATTCCTCTGCCCTATCCCCCAGCTTCAACTGACATTAAGAAACTTGCCTGAGTAATTTAATAACTGATTTTAGGACAAATAACATGCTCCCAAAGATGAAGCATGCTCAAGGATGAAACTGATCTCTGTGCCATATTACCAGGCGTACTTCAGAGTCTGAATAGTAGATTTGTTTGCTTCCGGTTCTTAGCAATAAGTATGAAGGAGGAGTAAAAATTGAAAGTCCTTTATGTTGTAGTAAATGTTACTTAACCAAATCGAGTTCCAGGTAACCATTTTGAGGAGTTAGAAATCATCCAGCATCTGCACTGATTAGCTTTAGTAGGGGGTTAATTTTTGTAAAAGGAACTTGAGCTAAAAGATTTGCTTTGTTGGATTTTTCCCTGTCCCAGAGGTGTTGTACAATTATTCAACGCTGTCAGGACACACCAGAAGAAAATGGAAGAGGAGGTGAAGAAAGCTGGGAGCTCTGAATGGAAGCGTGCTAAACTGATATCTTCTGTTTCCAAGAGAGATTTCATTGATGTTCTGAGAAACATGGATGGGGCTAAAGGAGCCAAGAATCCTGCTGGAAAGGCCACTAAAAGTAAACAGGTAGGCTTCATCTGTGAGAAAAAAACACTTACAAGGTACCCTCTCAATATAATGACTCTCTGTTAATGTGCCTGCTCTTCATAAATGTCTGACCCAAATGACTGGGATGTTTTGAGACTTGTGGAAGGGAACAAGTAGCTTTTAGCCTCTTTTTCCCTGTCTTTTGGCTATCAAAATACAAAACACTGGAAGGTCTTCTGATAAGACATGGAGACTTTTATGAAAATAACTTGGTTTAGCTGTGTTTAAAAAAAGATTATGAAACACTAGATTTTATCTTGGATTTTACACCATGCATGGAACAAACTGCTAGCTTATGGTGGGTTGTGACATTTGGAATTTAGCCAATAATAGTTAGCTCCTTGAAATTGTTAAAGACCTGGAGGTTGTCCATCTTACAGGGCGTATTAGACTGTACTACTTGTATGTCCCCACAGTTTGGTCATGTCAAACTTGCTTCCTTTGGGTGATTATGGTGTCTGAAACGGAAGGATTTGCCATACGAAATGAATACCACAATAGAACGGAACACAGATATATTAAACCTTATATGTAGGCTTTTCTTTCCCTGATTCTCTGTGTGCATTGGGCCTGGTGTGTGTGCTGTTTTGGAAAGAAGTACATTCCACTTTTTCCAAATGTGTTTGAGACACAGTGTAGTTGGACTTGTCCAACTCTTCATCAGTTCTTTCAGCTCACCAAGTAGCTCAGGGTTGAAAACAAGTTGCTCAGACACACTCTATCTCGTATTTCAGAAGCTGCACGTTTTTGAAGCATATTTGTGTTCAGGTCTGAGCTCTGTGCTTGGTGGTGGGTGGAATACTGCAGTTGGCGCAGACACACTGCAGTTAACTAAGTGCTTTTCCGTGCCAGGAAGAAATACTTTAATCAGTTGGGAGACAGCATTTTGTCATATGTTTTTTGTTTGTGTGCACTTGGGGAACATGCTGAAACACTGCCTGGCATGGGGTGCTCATACAATTTTCATGCAAGTGCAATATTAAAGTATTTTTTAAATTCTTTGGATAATGAGAACAATTTAGCTTGGTGCTGACACTTTATTTCTCCTTAAATAATTCCAGCTTGCTGATTTGGGTGGGGGGGCATATGTATGTGTGTGGCTTTTTTTTTTTGTTCGTTTGTTTGTTTCTCCTCCCTTGGAATAGCAGAATATTGGAACAATGGCAGTGCCAACTACTATTGTAGTCAGCATTGAATCAATATCTGAGCAAGAACTAGGACCTTTGCTTTGTGTCACATTGTAGCAGGGCAATTGCAATTTTTTAATTACTAGGTCAGAAAACATAGATTGCAAATGTTTCTATACTAAAAAAAAAGTTTTATTTTGGCAGCATTAGTAATAGCATATTTCCATTCAAGACCTCTGGAGATGCTTTAGATGCTGGCTGGTTAGTCTTGGGTTTGAGTATCAATGTAGGTGTTGCTTTCACATCCCTTGTGCACAAAAGCTGGGGTGGGGATCAGGGTTTTTGGTTGTTTTTTAATTGCATGTCTGCCTAGACAGACCACCCCCCCTTCCTCTTTCCCTTGTTTCAGTGACTCTTCAGCATTTGCTTCAGTGACTCTCCATTCAATTTAATACTGAACCAAACTCTTCAATAACTCCTTTTCAAGCTGTTCCTAATCTGCCTTATTTTCTCTTGAGACCATATCTTACTCATTTAGCAAGCTCTCCTCCTGGTAGTTGTTGAGGCTTGAGGTTGAGGCCAAAATCTGCTCTTCATTCTCTTTCTCAGAATTACACAAATATTTAGCCACTGAACAGTTCTGCTGGCCTCCACTGTCATATCTGTACTTCTTGGTCTTTGGGAGTGTTTCAGTGTAGGAAGCCTGGATGAGGCTTTTCAGTAGTAAATTCCTTGCAGCGTGGTTTCAGCAGATTGTTTGTGCCATCTGAAAGCTTTTGTTTGTTTGTTTTGTGGGTTTGTTTTTAGCAGTCAAGAGTATAGAGTGTATTCATTTTTTAAAAAGGTGGGGGGGGAAATACATTTATCTCAGCAAAAACAATGGAAGAGATGCCAATCCCAAAATCCAGGCACTCTGCCATCAATTAAAAGGCAGTCCAGAACAATAAAAACACTACCCCACCCACATAAAACAAGCAGTCAGCAAGAAAAATGGCAGAAAAAAAATTTACCAGTGAAAGCAAACTTTTTTTGACTCAAGCCTTGTGCTGTGACATGAGACTTGACTGTATCTTGAGAATGGGTGAAAGCATTTTCTTGCTCTGCAGGAGTTCTTGAACGCAAAATTTGCTTTGTATTTTTAAAAGTTTGGCAATTTCATTCAAGTGTCAGGGTTTGTTAAAAAAAACCCTTATAAAGCTGTGTTGATTGACTATTTAGCCAAGTATATTTATGTGTGAAAAAAAAAAGAAATTAAATGCTCTGTAAAGGCCCATCTGCAGCAGTATGATTTCAAAGTAGCATGACCACTTTTTACATTTTGTTCTCTATTTCCATCAGCTTCATGTGTTCCTGGGAAGGGCAGGTAACCTGTGCCCCACTAGAACATTGTTCATAGTCTTGTTTACTTTTAGCCATTGGCCTAAATGCTACTTGGCATATACCTACCAACATAACTATGAAGGAAAGACTGTCAGGCTGTGTAAGTTTTCCTGTGCCCTTCTTGTGAAATTGTAGCCCTTCTTGGAGTTCTGTGTGCCCAGCTGGGAGTAATTATTTTTCTGAGCTGGAGCCAAAAGCTTTGCCTTTCATATCATTTGCTGTTTATCAAAGTATTTCTTAATCCTTGCTGAGCCAGCTGACTTGTGTAATATTTTTTCCTGTTTTTTTTCCAAGTTACTGTGCATGATGCTTGCCTCTGGGTAAGATCATCTAATTTCTCTCCCCTCAGCACCTTGTCTGAAGCCTTGCAATGTGGGAGAAAAATGAAGTCATTAAAAAAAAAATAAAATCCCACTTGTTTGTGTTCAGATGGGCTTTTTTTAAAGTTTTGAGGTGGGTTTTTGTTGGAATCTTTTACTGGCAGATATGAGAGCTTTCAATTTGTTCAACCCAATCCTTCCACACGAGCTTTTCATTTCAAGATGTGTTGGTCATATCTTCCTGTATGACACTACAAAAAACTTTATAAATTATAGGTTTAGAAAGGGTATGTATCAGAAGCTCTGTTTTTTCAGGCCTGGAGGCTGAAGGAATTTTCATGTCTGTAGAATGAATACAGAAGTTGGTAGTGGCACTAAAGGATTCCTTGTAGGAATTGATTTCTTTAGTTCCTTAATACAAGGTGCTCTTAGGAAGTACCCCTGCATCCAGGGTTGAGTGAAGTTTATGTTCTCTTAGAGTTGCACAGATGTCTTGGCTAATGTAGGTCTTGAAATCTTAATTGTAAGAAAACAAGGAAATTCTGAGGAAATTCAGAGTTATTTTCGTTGCTTGCTGTGTGTCAGTGACAATTGCATCTTGACTTTTCTCTTGTGATTTGTGCTGGTCCCTGTCAAGCATTTTACTGCATGGTAAAACATTTTTTAGTGACACATAAACAACTGGCATGAAAGTTACAGATACTCTTTATGACAAGCATAAGCTGCACTTACTGACCTTTCATTTTTTATTAGGACTTTGTAGGATGATTTTGCTTCAACTTGTAAGCTTTCTTAAACCACATCAGAGCATTTCAGTGGTGAAATTAAGAGCAGGATTTCCTGGTCTACTTCAGTAACCATGATCACCATGATCCAAATTCTGCAAGGTAATCTCTCTGTGAGCCAGGCTGACTACATGACCCGGAGGTACAATTTGCTTCCTGTGTTGTGATGGCATCTGGAAAAAAATTGGTGCGTTGGTCTCAAAATGGTACCTATTCTAAAATAAATTATTGATGGGAAGGAAGATAGGTGGAGAAGAATACAAGTGCTATTTCATAGCAGCAGCTATTGCTCATATGGGACTTAAAGTGCTTTTCCAGAAAAGTTCCTTCTACCTCAAGCATATTTTATAAATGCTCCAAGTATCTGGTAAGTAATTTGTAAGGACAGTGATTAGAGTCAGACTTACTATAGATTTTTTCTTCTGTTCAAATGACTTTCTTTTAAGCTGTAGTTTGAAGGTTGTTCAAGGGCAGGAGGAATACTATGCTTCTGACTTTGACCACTGTTCTTGCTGGGATACAAGGAGTGCCAGGGAGGCTTTCATTTTTTAAGCTAAATGGGGTATAAATTGTGCTTTCCAGCTTAAAAGTTGCATCAGTTTAAAAACTGAGAATGACTGCCTTATATTCCTTGCAGCTTCTTGAGTACTGACCATCAGCTTGGTCTGTTTCTTTCCACTGCTTCTGCAGTGTAGAAATAGGCAGGGTGAAAAAAAAAAATTGTTTTCTTTCATATACCTCTTTGGAGTGACAGTAGTCTGAATAGTTGCTTCAACCTGTGTTAGGAAATTGTTTCTGAAGTGTGGATGAAGGCAGAGATGACTTCTGGAAATTTGGTAAGGTGTATCAACACCTCTTTTAATCTTAACAGGAAACTTCCTTATGTACAATGGCATTGCAGAGTAGCAGAAGTTTATTACTGCAGCTGTTGTGTGCTGGTTTTACAGACCTAATTGAAAGAGTAATCAGGCATGCATGTATTCCAGCAGATTTGAGGGGGCAGCCAAATATTAATTTATTTCAGCTGTAGCCAGAGTAGATGTATTCTCCCAGTTTTAATAAATGTCTTCCCATCACGTGCACAAAAACTTTCAATTTGGATTCCTTTGGATCCTGCATTTTTATCAGTTTTTCCTAACTGTGTGTACATTCTCTTGAAGGTCACCCCATATTGGTTTGGAGCTGATGCTTTTAATGAATTCTTTTGGTTTGATACCAGAAAGTTGCTGACAACTAATTGTATGCTGTATTTTTCGGAATAGCCTTAGGGATCAATGCAGCGCAGCCTACCACTAGTTTGCTGTATCCTATATTCCTTATGTTCTTTAAGGTAAAGTGTTGTTGTGCAGTACTAGAGGTTGCATGGT